AATATCAAAAAAACAAACAACCCAATCCAAAATGGGCAGAAGACCTAAATAGACATTTCTCCAAAGAAGATGTACAGATTGCCAATAAACACGTGAAAGGATGTTCAACATCACTAATCATTAGAGAAATGCAAATGAAAAGTACAATGAGGTATCACTTCACACCGGTCAGAATGGCCATCATCAAAAAATCTACAAAGAATAAATGCTGGAGAGGGTGTTGAGAAAGGGGAACCCTCTTGCACTGTTGGTGGGTATGTATATTGATACAGCCCCTATGGAGAACAACAGTATGGAGGTTCCTTAAAAAACTAAAAATAGAACTACCATACGACCCAGCAATCCCACTACTGAGCATATACCCTGAGAAAACCATAATTCAAAAAGAGTCATGTACCACATTGTTCCTTGCAGCTCTAATTACAATAGCCAGGACATGGAAGCAACCTAAGTGTCCGTCGACAGATGAATGGATAAAGAAGACGTGGCACATATATACAATGGAATATTACTCAGCCATAAAAAGAAACGATATTGAGTTATTTGTAGTGAGGTGAATGGAGCTAGAGTCTGTCATACAGAGTGAAGTAAGTCAGAAAGAGAAAAATACCGTATGCTACCACATATATATGGAATCTAAAAAAATAATGGTTCTGAAGAACCTAGGTGCAGGACAGAAATAAAGATGCAGGCGTAGAGAGTGGACTTGAGGACACAGAGATGGGGAATGGTAAGCTGGGACGAAGTGAGAAAGTGGCATGGACATATGTACACTACCAAATATAAAGTAGATAGCTAGCGGGAAGCAGCCACATAGCGCAGGGAGATCAGCTTGGTACCTTGTGACCACCTAGAGGGGTGGGATAGGGAGGGTGGGAGGGAGAAGCAAGAGGGAAGAGATATGGGGATATATGTATATGTATAGCTGATTCACTTTGTTATAAAGCAGAAACTAACACACCATTGTAAAGCAATTATACTGCAATAAAGATGTTAAAAAAAATTATAATACAAAGACAAGTCATTTGCTTCTGTGATTCAGTTCCATAATAAAATGAGCATAATGTCTATCAGTGTTATTCCAGTAGCTTTTATGCCCACATGATGAACTGAATGCCATATTTCATCTTTTGTAGAAATTGGGGGTGTTCCACTCCCAGGAATCTGATATTCTCACACTAGCACATAAAATATGTATACAAGCATATTTTTAAAAGTAATTTTTTACTTGTATCACAGTAATACACATGCATTAAAGGCAGCAAAGTAGAATGATTAAGAGCAGGGATTCTGGAGTCAGCCCGCCTGGGTTGGAGCCCTCTCCACCTCCCTCGATCTATTTTCTTCCTTTCAAAATGTGGAACAGACACCTACCTTGTAGTGGTATGAGAATTAAATGAGCATACACAGAAAGTGTTTAAAGCAGGCCTGTAGGAATGTGAACACTGTACCTTTTAAAGTCAAACAGTGCAAAAAGGGCTGTAATAAAAAGGAGCAGTCTCTGGCCACATTCCTCCCGTCTCCCCATATCGCTTCCAGGTAAGTGCTCACAGCTCCCGGCTGTTGCTTCTGTTGGTTACCACTGTAACTCCAAATATTATTCTTACACAAATATTTCTTTTAATCCATTTAATCCATTTTTAAGTGTGCAGTTCAGTGGCGTTAAGCACATCCACAAGGTTGTGGGACCATCACCACCATCCAACTCCACAGCTTTTTTACCTTCCCAAACAGAAACTCTGTGCCCATTAAACAATAGCTCTCCACTCCCCCAGCCCCTCAGCCCCTCATAACCTCTATTTTCTGTCTCTATGAATTTGCCTATTTTAGGTATCTCATAGAAGTGGAACCACAATATTTGTCCTTTTGTGACCGGCTTATCTCACCGAGCATAAAGTCTTCAGAACTCATCCATGTTGCAGCAGGTGTCAGAGCTTCCTTCCTTCTTAAGGTTGAGTAATATTCCATTGTATGTATATGCCACATTTTGTTTATGCATTCCTCTGCCTGTGAATTTAGGTTGTTTCCACCTTTGGGCTGCTGCAAATGCTGCTATGAACGTGGATATCCAGATATCCGTCTGAGCCTCTGCTCCGTTGTTTGGGATGGCTGTTTCTTTTTTTTTTTTTTTGCGGTACGCGGGCCTCTCACGGCTGTGGCCTCTCCCGTTGTGGAGCACAGGCTCTGGACGCGCAGGCTCAGCAGCCATGGCTCACGGGCCCAGCCGCTCCGCGGCATGTGGTATCCTGCCGGACTGGGGCACGAACCCGTGTCCCCTGCCTCGGCAGGTGGACCCTCAATCACTGCGCCACCAGGGAAGCCCTGGATGGCTCTTTCTTGATTAATCATTTTTTAACATTATCTTTTAATTTCCAGACATGTTAAATCAGACATGTGAGGACTTAATTACAACTCCCTACTTTTCTACACACTCCCCACCCCCACCCTTGCATAGTTTTGGTTAAACAAACAACCAGTGTTTTGTCTGTTGTAACTTTACAAATGTTGTCAGCTGCTGAGCGAGACGTGCTCCAGTCCCTTGTCTATTTTCCGGAATACTTTTTTTTTTTTTTTCTGGCGTTAACAGTGACATCAACTTTACATTTGCTCAGTTTTCTATGTACTATCATCACTACATTTTCCTTAGTGCCCTGCTACATGTTTACTGATAACAAGCTCCACTGGGGCAGGCATAAGGTTCTTTTTTGTTTTGTTTTGTTTTTCTTCTTTTTGCAGAAGCCCAATATCCTCCTGCTCCAGTCTGGAGTGGATGTTTCTTTGCACCACTGCATCTTGTGTGTTCCCTTCTTTCTCCTGCTATTTCCCGCATCCCATCTGTGTAGTTCGAAGCACATATTTCAATAGTTTCCTGAGAAAATTTACATGGGATATAAAAATGTTGAGTTCTTGCATGTGTTAAAAATATATTTGTTTTACCCTTACTATTTGGGAAGATAGTTTGGCTGGGAATAGAAACCTGAATTGAAAAATCATTCAGAATAAGGCACCCTTGTTATTGGTTTTAGCTTTCAGTGCTGCTGCTGAGAAATGGTTATGCTACTTGGATTCCTTTTTTTTTTTTTTTTTCTGTTTTATTTTGAAAAATTTCAAGCCTACTATTAAAAAAACCTAAAGAACAGAACAACAAACACCTGAATACTCCACACCTAGCCTCATTATTATTAACATTTTGCCACATTAGCTTCCTCTGATTTTGTCTTTTTCTCTCCTGGTCAGTTGGTCTGTCATCCATCCATCCACTTATATTTCTCTCTCTCTATGCATATATTCACATATATATCTATATGAGTATAATTTCCTTTGTTGAATATTTGGAAGGTACAGGTATTGTGATGCCTCCATCCTAAATACTTCAGCATAGCTCTTCTCAGAACAAGGACATTCACCTATATTTGCATAATATTATTATCATAAAATAAAATCCAATATAGAGTCTGTATTTGAATTCCCCAATGGTCTCATGTCATCCTTTATAGCTGCCTTTCTTCTTTTGCTGATCCAGGATCAAATTGCGGCTGTCACATCACACGTGTTCATTGGAATGGACTCTATCTGTGCCCCGCCCCTGTCTGGAGACCATTCAGTGTGCTCTGGCCAACTTGTGGCTGCCAGAAGCTGCGTCCCTGTGCCTAAGGGCTTTTCTCCAGATTAGCTGTGATTATTAGCCTTTCACTGAATTGCCCATTTTTAGTCCTGTGCTCCTTCACCTCCATGTCTCATGTCTCACCTATGAAGGCTCTCGGGTTCATTTTATCTGGAGGATAAGCCTCTGCTCGCCTGCTGGTGATGTCAGAGTGGAGACGGGAGGAATAGTTGCTTGGCTACATAGGGTGGGAAAGGAGTGAGGGTTTAACCCTTCTGTCTACAACTTTTCAACCAATCCTCTGTTTTCAGCCCCTGACTTGCCCTGCCCCCACTTTCCACACTATTTGTGTCTCCCAGTTCTGTGTGTGTCACCTGGCTAACTTCCTAGTGGCACCTGAGATGTAGCAGCTGCTCTTTGCTGCATCCGCTACTGTCTCTCCACCTGCTTGGTATATTCCAAAACAATCTGCTGCATCTTTCTTTCCTTATTGTCTCCTCTTCAGTGCTCTTCGCTCTTGTGGGTCTACACCTTTGAAAAATTCCTTTATTGGAGGGATTCCAGAAGGAGAGGAAATAGAAGCATGTGGTAAATTGGCCATGTTGACCCAGAAATTTGTCTGTAGCATATTTTTAGTAGAAAAATACCTGTCATTTATTCAAGAGTATTAAGCACCTGCCGTGTACCAGGATGTGGGGGTGAGAGCAACACCAAAGGTAATTCCTGGGTTTATGAAGCTAGTAGAACACATGACATATTACAAACTGTGATGGGAGCTTTGAAGGAAGGTTCAGGTTTCTACACTTACCTGGGTGAACCGACTTGGTCTAGAGGATGTGATGTTTAAGATCTGAAGGATGAATAGGAGTCAAGGAGATAAAGGGGTAAAGGTGGGCATGGGGCAGAGCAGTGTACTAAGGTCAGTGGGAGCAGATGGAGGTCTGTGGAGGGAATGCAGAAAGGGAGGGGAAGATGGTGCGAGATGCAGCCAGAGGCAAGGGCAGGGGCCAGAGCGGCCAGGGGTCCCTGGATCCAGGAAAGGCTGTCTTTGTGCTCAGCGTAGTGGAGACCTCTGAAGGGGCTTTAAGAGTTGACATGGTTTGATTTACATTTTCAAAGCCCACGGGGTGCAGGATGGCTTGGTGAGGAGGGCGGTGTGGATGTGGGGATTCCTGGAGGGAGGCAGCCACCCAGTTGAGAAGTCGTGTCACTTAAACCAGGGTGTTGGAAGCAGAGTTCAAGAGAGGTGGATGGATTAGAGAGATATGCCGAGACTCGGGGATGGCTTGGATTTGGGGAGTGGAGGAAAGGACGGTACGAGGATGACACCCAAACCTTTGGTGTGTGGAACTGGACGAATGGTGGTGCCACTCACAGAGGCCAGAAGCTCTGCAATATAACTAGATGTTAGATCAGAAACAACTGAATTGTCCAGCAATAGAACAAGCAAATGGATTGTCACAGAGGCAGAGTTGGAGCAGCTATGGCTTCAACCAACGGGAAGCCAGAAAGTTGAGCAGACTAAGGAGAAAGAACGCGGGTGGTGATTATAGAAGATAGGGTCAGGGTCAAGGTCAAAGAACTGGTGATCAATGAAAGAGCCTCTCAACCAATCCCAATCCCAGTTTTTAGAGGACAGGATTAGAGAAGGGGGCTCAGAAGGAAAATTCAAGGATGTTGGGTAAGTCGCTCCTTTTATCTTTTTATTTTTTTTGATTGGGGTATAGTCGCTTTACAATGTTGTGTTCGTTTCTGCTGTACAATGAAGTGAATCAGCTGTATGTATACATACATCCCCTCCCCCTTGGACCTGCCTCCCCCCCTCCCCCCATCTCACTCATCTAGGTCATCACAGAGCACCCACTGAGCTCCCTGTGCTATACAGCAGGTTCCCGCTAGCTATTTGTTTCACACACGGCAGTGTATATATGTCAATCCCAATTTCCCAATTCATCCCACCCTCCTTTCTCCTCTGCCCTGTGTCCACACATCCGTTCTCTACATCTGCGTCTCTATTCCTGCTCTGAAAATAGGTTCATCTGTACCATTTTTCTAGATTCCACATGTAAGTCTCTCCTTTTAAAATGTGATGTCTCCATTTCCGAGGGAAGTTGGTCATCCCAGATGGCCACAAGGAAGAGATGGCTTGGCCTCCAACACTGAATTATTCAGGTGGGTTGTACCTGATGCCACTTGTCTGGAATGGGGGGGCAGGCTAGGCAGAGCCAAGCGGCCTCTACACAGAGAGGGGCAATGGGCTTCAGTCAGATGCAGGGAGGGGCTGTGCTCTGAGCAGGTATTGAGGTGCCTCTCTGCTTCAGCCCTCCCAGGCTCTCAGCTCCAGCTCCAACTTCATCCCCATCCTGTACCACCCTCTGTCCGCCAGGGTTCAGCGGGAAACAGAGCTCGCTCCAGACGGTTTAGTGAAAATGCGTTAATGAAGGCATCACTCATGAACCCACGTGGGACTACAAGCCTTCATCCCTACCACCAGGGGACCAAAGGCATAAAGGAGGGAGTGGTGTTCTGGAGCTCAGTGAAGACTGGAACCAGGGCAGAGGTGGAAGGAAAATAGAGGTTACCAGGGAAATTATGCCAGAACAGGAAGGAAGTAGGGAAGAGATATCCCAGGTTTTCCCACCTTTCTCTTCTCCCGCGTCCTATCACTCAAACCTGCCAGAAAGCCAGAAGGCAAAGGAGCCCAGGTGATGCTGTTGGCAGGGTCAGCCCTCTGGACAAGTCAGACAAGGATGGAGAATGGACCAGGGAAGGGGGCAGGTGGAGAACCCCTACCCACATCCCATCCTGACCTGCCAGCAAAGCTGCCCGTGCTCTGCAGTGGCCACAGTCCACACAGCTGCTGCTGGGAGATGCCTCCCTCTGAGGGTAACCTCAACTTGGGACCTGCCCAGACCTCAATGTGCGCCCCAGATCTGGCGGGGAGGCTCGCATATACCCACACTCAGAATGAGCACGGAAACTTCTCCCAAGGCCAAATGGAAATGGCTTTTGGATCACCCACCATTTGGCTGGATTATCTGCACCATTGCCTCCGTCCATTACTGAGGAGAGCCAGGAGGGTCTGGACTGTCCTTGGAGTTCCAGGATGACCTTGTGGAGAGCTGATTACAGTCTGTGTGCGGAAAAAGAAGATGTCTGACTGTCATTTTTTCCCTCTCTCTGGTTCAGCGAAGCTTGATCTTTGGCCTGTGGCTAGATCCCATATTGAAGAGCCTGTCACTGCTGGTGATTTTGCTTGGAAGACCTCAATTCAGACTGAAGCAAGCCTTTCCATTAGCAAAGCTGTACAGAATCCATATTTGCCTTTGAGACTTACAGGCTCCCCGTGTGGTGCTTGGGGGGCCCCTTCTGCACAGCACTGCTCCTCGCCCTCAACCCACTCACATGCCACCTGGCTGCACCCCACTACCTCCAAGTCATAATAAGAACAGATGCCAACACAGCTGCAGGGGGTCTCATGTCTGAACCAGGAAGAGAATGAGAGGCAGAATCCAAGGTCAGGGCCTGGGAGAATCCTGGAGAAGCCATCTTTGAGAATTAGGATGTCTTCTTGGTGGGCTTTTCTGGTTGGCCCGGAGAGCATCTACCTCTGCCACAGCCTCCTTTACATCCCAAAGCCCCGACTCTATGGAGCGGCCTCCAGAGCCTCAGAACGGGTCCTTAGCTCTGGTCCTGCCCATCTCTGATTTCCTAGGCCCCCTCCTCGTTCTGCCCTCACCACCACTGAGTTCCCATGGGCCTCTTGACAAAATTCATGCACTTTGGGGGACCAGTAACATATAGTCAAAAGAGCTAACATTTATTTCCACCTAACTATGTGTCAGGCACTTTTTTGTGTGCATTTGACCTGCATCAACAGCTTCAATCCTTACAGTAACCCAAAGCGGTAGGTACTAGTTTTTTATTTCCATTTTACAGGTGATAAAACTGATGCACAAAGAGATTAAGTAACTTGCTCAAGGTCGCACGCCAAGTAAGTGGCGGTGCTGGGCTGCAAGCACCCCATGCTGTGTTCTCATCCACCGGCCAGCGCTGCCTCCAGACGCCATCCCTGCGTGGGTTTCCCCAGGGTTTTTGCCACTGCTTATACATTTCTAAATGTTGGAAGTTTTGTCCTGCAGAGAAATATTGAGAAATACAGAGAAATATTGAGGTACTAGCATTCAGGTGGCTTTTGCTTCACTGTACAACTTAGAGAACACACAACAGATAATTCAAGATACACTTTTAAAAACTCTGTTTTCCTCCACTGGATTGGGTTAGAACAGAGGTTGGCAATTTTTTCAGACCGAAGAGTCCAACTGCACTAAAATCCAGAAAACATGGTCAACAAAGATGCAGGATGAAAACGCCTATTTTGTTTAACAGAGAAATATGTTACTTTAAATGATATTGATAGGGTGATTAATAATGGAATGAATTAAATATGGAAGTTATCAACTCTGGTCCTTAAGACTGAGCCTTGGCCTTGATCACTTGGCCAGTGCCCTTGGGGCCTGCCTTAACCCCCTGTCAGGTGGAAGTCTGTCAGGTGATCTATTAACTATAAAAATTAACGCTTGTATCAAAGAAATCATGGCAAAAGCTTTTCAGTAGTGGAGAGGAGGGGTACCCCAAATTGACCTGATCTACCTTTTTGGGGTCTGATTCCTGAGGATGTGAAGCACTGACAGTTTCAGATTGTATTCAGAAGAGCCCGTGAAGACGTTTGAGCATGTCTTAACATTCCTGCTTAAAGACCTCAGCAGCTAGAGAGCTTCCAGAACTACTGCTGGAACTTGGAACTGCATTATTCCTCACTGTTTGACTTCAAGGTCTTACTGTTAAAAGTCTGGGTTAAGGGCAAGGGTCAGGCTGCTGCTGACTTTAAGCTTTATATGATTTTACTTTCCATAATGCAAAGCTTATTAAGGTGGATTCCACTAGAGCTGACGGGAGAACTTTGCCTGCCACCAGTGTGGACGCATTCCTCATTCAGGCCGTGGGCCCTCTAGAGTATGAACCACTGATAACTGACCATGGTACCTTCAGCACCTAACGCAATGTGGAGGATTGCCTGTAAAACACTTTCCTGGAACACACGTAAATTCATGATTTTACCATAGTCAGTCTAGCCCTCTCTGCTCTAAGCAGACATCATGGATTCTCTATATAGCTTAATTTACATGCCCTTCTCCTTGTCCGGGCCTGAACTGTTGCAAGATATTGATCATGCATTACTTGCTTTGCTATACCTTCTTTTAAAATTCTTTTAGCTTTGTTTCCTACCACAATAACAATACATGCTCATTATGGAAATTTGGAAAAGCTCAATGAAGAAAAAAAAGAAATTCAATTAATTCTAAAATTTTAGTGTAACTTTCCATGAATGTGTATGTACATTTTTACAAAAGAGGATCACCCTGTAGAAGTATTTACCTTTCTTTCTGACTGTACAATGCAATGTAAACATTTTTCTGTTGTCATTCTTCTATGTTTTTCATGACTGCATTGGGTTCAACTTTATGTTTCGATTTTTTTTCTCTAACAAATAGTATAATGAGCGTACTTCGGGATACATCTTTGTGCAAACATGTGGGTATTTTCTTGTGGTAAATTTTCAGAAGTAAAATTACTGGATCATAAACATGGATGTTTTTAAGGCTTTTGGAGAGCTATTGCAACCAAGTCACTCTTTGCTGCCAGTAGTAATTTCTTAATTCTTAGTCCTGATGTCAGTGCTGGCAGCATCACTGGACAGGGTCTAAAGTGCTCCCGACTGCCCAGTGGGGTATGTGTTACCAAGAGGTGACCTTTGTAGATGCGACTTTCTGCTTCAGTGGTCCTTTGTTCCTTACAGATGAACTGGTCTTTAAGGGTTCGATGCTTCCCATGGCTTTTTGTTCAAATGTCTCTTTTAAAATTGATGTTGAATGCAACCTCCAACTGGAGATCATGTACTGTCTGTTGCTCGATCACTCAGCTTCCATTCTTGTGGATTTCCCACTGAACCAACCTCATTGATTTCTCCTTAAGGATGGCCTGTAGGTAAGGGCTCCCTTACCTGAGAGTACAACCTTCTCTCTAGAGGCCAACTTTGTGAGGGCTTTGCCATGTGGAACTATTCTACCCACAGGGATTATTTTGCCTTAGACAATGCCCTGCTCTCCAGGATTGGCCATGGGGATCTTGCTGGGAAGTGAGTTGAGGTGTTTCAGCACGGCAGTTTTTTAAAACTGGGGTCTGACTGTTCTCTGCGGCCTTTTCAGATGCCAGCAACAGTTGGCCACAGTAGGAGATGCTCACTGGAATGTTCCCGGGCTGTCCGTGCACAAGTCACAGTTGCTCTGGCCAATGGGAAATGAGAGCTAATTTGCTCTAAGGGCCCTAATTGGCTGATGGTGCAGTTCCGTGCCTACTATTTTAAGGCTGTGTTTCTGGCCCCAGCTTGGCAGGCTTGCTTGAGACATCTGGCAACAATGATCAGAATGCCTCTTTTTTTCAAGGAGGCTCACCATCGATTCATCTATGGACTCACAAGGAAAGACTCATTTAGTAGAGCCAACATGTTTCAAAGAAAAGTATATTTTCATTAACTAGCCTCAAAGCAGTAATTACATGTTCAGAGAACTCAGTAAAAATTTATTTCTAAATATTTGGCAGTGAAATGTTGAAGGCAGCGCGTGAGTACGTGTGAGTGTGTGTGTGTGTGCGCACACACGTGTCTAACATGTTGCATGTGTTTTAAATAAACCCAGCGTCTAAAAGGAAGCAGGAAATACAATTGTAGACTTTGAAATTTAATTTTTAGCAACAGGATGTGTTTCTAAATACTGCTAATATATCAAAAGGAAAATGTGTGTTTAAAGGCTTTAAAATTGTTATCAAAGCAATTGTAAAGCAAATGAGGTGGCTTTTATTTTTTATTTTTTTACAGTGGTGGTGTCTGAACACTGGAAACCAAATTTCAACCGAGGATCAAAAGCAACGGTGATGTCTTTGCATGAGATGCAGCTGAACTTCGATGCTCCCGCAATCTGATTCACAGTTTATAATCACAGTTATCACAGAACCATTAAAAGCCTATTAACTTGAATTCCCACAATTCCTTGAGGGCAAGGGCAAAGAGAGAGCAACGTAACTTTGAATGTAAATGTAACACAAGGTTCGAACAGAGAGAATCTCTTTTAACTGTGCCAGCGGAAGATGTATGGATGCATCTACCCTAGCAGATGGCTGATGTAAGAATACAACGTGAAGTCTTAGGAGGCTCGGGATGTTATGAAAACGATTTCTCTGTGAAGCGACTGGTAAAGTGTCTGTCCGCCCCAGACCTCTTTCTGGGAGGAGGAAGAGGAGGTGACTTGTTAAAATGTGTTAACTGCACGCTGGGTTGGCTGGACAAACACTATGCGGTGTCTGATCGAATCAGCCTGAAAAGAATCCTCGGCCCCATTCAGCGGGAGCAGAAGCCCAACTGCTGTCCAAGCCCTCGTCATGTGAGAAATCTGATTTCATGTTTTTCCACCCTTCAGTGCCTGTGCTGACATTTCCCCTAACAATGCTATTATGTGCTGTACAGCCAGACAGTGCAGTCAGTAAGCTGTCCTGAGACTTCGGATAAAACGGAGAGCTCTTATCTCACTGCAAAACAATTAGAGACCTCGTGCAGCCGTGAGCTGTGTGCATGCCAACATACCAATGCTGGTCTGTTCCCAAATTTCTGAGCCCTCCCTGGAGACATACACGCCTGCACATTAGGATGCTCGCTCTAAATGGCCCACATGCGTGTGCCCCTGGCGAGCTGGACGTGGTCCTTGTCTCACCTTTGTGAAGGAGTATTGGAATCACCTGAGGAAGGAAAGCGCGTTCTCTCTGCCGTCTCCAGCGCTGGTTCTGAAATAACTAATTCCAATCAATCCATCCTCACCTCATATGAGTTCTTCCTGCAGGAACTGCCCACATTCACTGTCCAGTTTGATCCTGTTCCCACGATGGAGAAAGCAAATGGCTTGGTCCCGAGGGAGCAGGTTATTGACTAGGTACTTAATTAGGCACACAGCCCCGATGGGGTCATTCTGCCACTGTCAAAACGACTGGACCATGGCATGGCGGAACCATGAATTCGGTTTACTATCATTTGCCACCGTTGAATCAATGGGGTAGGAATCTAAATGAAACGTTAAGACAACCACACTGCAGCCTGTTTATATAACTGTGCAAAGAAACAGCATGTGTCTCAGGGTCCTCTGGGGGAAAACCTCTACTTCCCTACTTCCGTATCAGGCACACTGAGGTCGGTGTTATGCCTTCTAGAACGGTTTTAAGCGCCGAAGGGAAAACCTCCTAGGAAAACAGGATAAACTCTTTTAGCCTCCTACTTGAGTTTCCAAATCTTTAAAAGTCTAAAAGGACAGTGATCCTTGCCCAAGAATTAGGCTGCAATTCTTCTCTGTAGGTACAAGGTCAAATGGGCCCAGGGGTGCCCTGAATCCTCTGTCTTTTCACAGAAAGACCGAGAAAGCCTCAAGCACTGACCAGGGCCTTGAGATTCTCCAGGGTGGTGCTTCTCAAACTTTATGTGCACACAGATCACCCGGGCGTCTTGTTAAAATGCAGATTCAGATTCAGTCGGTCTGGGCATGGACCTGAGACTCTGCATTCCTAATAAACTCCCAAGTGGTGCTTGGGTTGCTGGTCCAAGGACCACACCTGGAGCAGTGAGGCCTTGGTGGTGGGAAGGTTCCTTACCTCACAGCCAACTTAGAAGGAAGTAGGGAAGAAAAGACCTTGCGAAGGCAACATCGCAAGCCTTGACGCTGTGTCCATTTCCTATCTGCCTTTGCAAGGACCCCCGGTGACAGAAATACCCTGGAATGTGAAGAAAGAGCAAAGCAAGAAAGGACAAATTGGTGGTCATCCACACAATTCACTGAATTGATGAACCTCGGATCCCAGTCGAGCTGGAGAAATCGGGGTGTAACGTCAGGACTCAGCCCACGTCTGTCATTTATGACTTTGTCTTATTATCTTTGTAACAAGGCTCTTTTATTAGCTCACAGTTTGCTGCCAAGGTGATGAAATCGCCGTTATGTTTTATGGTACACGGTAAGAGGAGAGAGGGGATCTTAAAAGACCTACAGATCTCTTCTTCGTTGAGGGACCTCACCTCCTCTCTCTCCTCCCTGCATGGGATGGAGATGAACTTACCATCACGTTCCAAGACACTGTTCATTTCCTCTTCAGCTGAAAAATATATATGGCTGTTTTGCTTTATGATTGTGGAGGCCGGCATTTTCCATTCCAGTGCTCTCTGTTCTGAAGCACACTTGTAATTACTGCTGTCTTTTATTCTGTGTCTTCGGAGGACTGTCCCGTTCAAACTGCGAGAGGACAAAAGCTGCTGTCTTTCCAGGGTGGAAACAATAGCATCGAGTCTTCACGTAAACCTCAACAAACACGGAAACACAGAAGTGAAAATGGGAATAACAAACGCATCCAGTGGAGAAATGGAAATCAAACTAAATATTTCCACCTGTCTTTTTCAGAATTTGGAGAAAGAATAAACTCAGCACGCCTGCTGCATCCTAAGGGTGAGTCTTATTTCTAAGGTGATTGTTCTAAAAAAGCAAAAGTTCTTAACTGGCGTGTTGTTGTTACCTGTTCCTCAAGTCTCTGTCTGTTACCGACATTGGCCAGATGGTCAAGGTCACAAAGGGCAAGGTGCCGGTCCACAGCTCTTGGGTGGCCTGGAGGCCCTGAATGGCCCGCCTTCTGCTTTTTCCTCTATCATCTCCACCCTGCGCGGTCCTCTGACCTCCTTTTGGTTCCTGAGTGAGTCAAGCTCCACCCAATATCAGGGCCTCTGACAGGCTTTCCCCCTACCTGGCACGTGCTCCCCTCAGTTCATTGAAGTCATTCTTCATTTCTTCATCACCTTCCTGGTCACCCTTCAGATTCGTGCAGGTCGCACTGTCACATGGTCTTGAGCACCCAGTACCTCTCATAACTATAACCAATTATCTGTGTGGTAATGTCTGTCTCCCCACAAGAGAGCCAGCTTCGTGAGGACAGCGACAGTATTTACTGTGACCTTAACTGTGTCCAGTACAATTTGCTAGATGGCAGCAATTTTTTGAGTGACCAATTCTCCAAGTTATCAATGAACCAAAAGCTTCTCTAGACACGATTTGAAAAGTTTATAGCGATTCACGTTTCAGCAAGGTTGTCAAAAATTGTCATTACCTGGGCAATGTCTCACATCCTTACCGACTCATGCGTGTCAGCAGAGTCAAGCGTTTTTATAAATGTTACTGTTTCTACCTTTCAGCTGCACAAACTTCCAGGTTGGTCAAGTTCTCCTTCTTGTCTTTCAATTCATCTTACTTGTCTTGATCCAGGAATTGTTTTCTTGAGTGGAAGGGAGAGAGATGCAGTTGATTTTCCAGATAGTTTGCAACATAGGGTAAAACAAGCAAACAAAAAATGTGCTTCACGTGACAGGTGCCTGAGTACTTTTCAAGATGATGTGCAAATGGGTTGTGCATCCATTGTAATTTCCATGAGTTCCGTACGAATCATGAACCATAATAAAAAACGTACAACTGAGTCACCTCAATTCTGTTGCTATTTGCAGAAAGAATCCAGATAGTTTACCTTGCAGGGTGAAAAGAAAACGTGTTTCATAATTCAGATGCCTGAGAATTTCTCAGATGCTCAACATTTTACATGCAGATGGCTCGGCTTTTCCCATACGCAAGTTAAGTTGTCCGGGATTTGTGGACGTGAAGGTGGAGGTAAAACTTTTGGTGGCATGATGAACTGCAGCATGCCTGTGTGTGCAGGTCTGAGAGTTGTGCAGGCAGCACACCTGGGCGCGTGGCCGATGCATGTGTGAAAACACACCTGTGGTTCCACCACTTTCCCACCAAAGACAGCAACTTGCTAATTAAAACAAGGAATGGCACAGTGCACTAAAGACACGTGGAAGAGATAGGCACAGCTGCTTTTCATAAGGTCCTTAACACTTCGGATGTAAAAGATCTAAAAGTCAAAGTACACGACAGCTGTCATTTCGAAAAATACATTGGGTGGAACAATTAGATACAAAGGTTGTAGATAACTCACTGAAAATAATTTTTGGTTAATCAATAATTGGGGGTCCTAGTCATCTGACGTATTGGCAAATCCATGATTTACTACTTATGAAAAGTTGATTTTGGTGATTGTCTTACCACTGTTTGAACACAGTGCTGGCACACAGTGGGTGTTCCCGTCAGTATTTGTTGAATGAACGTGCCCGTGTCTCAGCACTGCCTTCACAGCTACCTTTAACAGGCGGTGTTGCATCACTGCATTCTGAGCAGGGCCCAGCTCGTGCAAAGACCCAAAGCAGGATGGAGCTCCACCCTCTGGTGTTCTCGGCCCCAGTGATCTTAGTGCCCTGAGTGCTACAGGACTTGTTTTCAGAATGGGTCTCCAAGTTCAGCTCAGTAATTCAAACCTCCGAAAAGAATAACATCAACAATGAACAACCCCACCCCGATCTGCAGCTAGGAAATCCTAGCTGAAGAAAACTTGAATTTCATTTTTCCTGGCCGGGTTTTCTTTATTTGCTTTTGATTTTCTTGGACAAATCTTTTAGAATTTTAAACAATCGTTCAACAGGGGAAAATTGGAATACACCTTAACCAGTGATTGTATACCTTGTTTAATAGAGCATAAGACTAAATACAGAGGAGATGAAGAATATATTTAGAAACGGGATTTTAGATCTAAAGGATTTTCTGCTCCATCGGTGGAGACAAAGGGAATGTCTGTGAAATACTATGGTTTGGAAATGGCACCGTTGCTAGGCCTTTAGTCTCAGTCTTCAGCTCCCTCCCTCCTTATTGCTTTACTCTCAGTCTCTTGATGTGGGAGAAGCAGCATTCTGCACTCATCCTTCCCCTCCATTTGTGCAGAGCTCCCTGGCATGACATCTGCTGGGGAGGGAGGGGCCGCCCCATCGGAGGAGCACATGATAGTAGTCATTTGACCCCTGGCCTGCCAGAGCTCACAGTGAGGAGGGATCATGGCTAAGAGGCCCAGTTTCATGCAGATTAAAGAAAGGGAGTTAAAAGCAATCCTAGAAAATTCACTGCCCAGTAATTTAATGTGGTCAGGGAAGTGCAGTGAAACGAATCCTGTTTGATGCTGGCATTGAAATCGGCCTCAGTACATCTGGGTTCTAGTTTGGACTTTGCTACAAATTAGCTGTGTGACTATGGGTGCGTCCCTCCACCTCTCTGAGACTCCCTTTCCTCATCTGTAAGTGGAGATGGTTACTAACACCTGCTCAGTTTCAGTCTGTGTTCCACCTCAGGCATCTCATCCAGGAACACAGCTCTCTGGGCCGTCGGTGCTGGCCAGAGGAGAGGTCCCATATCACTAACACGGCAACTCTTGTTAGGACACCCTCGTCGATGATTAGGGGAAGAGGGTCTTGAGGACACAATTTCTTAGCAAAAAACAGAGAGTTGGACAAATTCTCCCACTGGTGTTTACTCTTATTTTCACATGGAGTAGCCAAGAGAATTGTCAAGACACAGAATTTAAAAAAGGAAGGAAGGGGCTTCCCTGGTGGCGCAGTGGTTGAGAGTCCGCCTGCCGATGCAGGGGACACGGGTTCGTACCCCGGTCCGGGAAGATCCCACATGCCGCGGAGCGGCTGGGCCCATGAGCCATGGCCGCTGAGCCTGCGCGTCTGGAGCCTGTGCTCTGCAACGGGAGAGGCCACAACAGTGAGAGGCCCGCGTACCGCAAAAAAAAAAAAGGAAGGAAGGGAGGAAGGGAGGAAGGGAGGAAGGAAGGGAGGGAGGGAGG